ACTACACAACAGGGGGGCAACTAAAAGAGGGTGACAAGTTTGGTACGAAAGAAGATTGTGTCCGGGCTATCAAACAGTTTCACATGGAGTTGTCAGCCGACTACAGAGTCGATCGAACAAATCCGACGCGGTATACGATCTATTGTCGTAACGAGGAGTTCCCGTTCCGATTAACAGCATCTTTCAGGAAGAGAAGCGATTCCTGGAAGATATGGTCAATGGGTTCGTCCCACAGTTGTATAATTTCGAATCCGATGCAAGACCATCGCAAACTCAGCTCTAAATTGATTTGCGATGAGATTCTGTCAGTTGTTAGAGACAACCTGTCTTTGAAGGTGAGTACCATAATTTCACATATGGTACAAAGGTACAACTACACTCCTTCGTACCGAAAAGCCTGGATTGCCAGGACTAAAGCGGTTGAAAGGGTGTTTGAAAATTGGGAGGAGTCGTACAAGGAACTTCCTAAATTCCTGGTGGCCCTTAAACACTACTCGCCAGGAACTGCTGCGATATTGGAGATGATGCCTGCTTGTACACCAGACAGGACTTGTGTTGCTGGAAATGGAATTTTCCACAGAGTCTTTTGGGCCTTCGAACCATGCATCAAAGGGTTTGCATTTTGTAAACCTATAATTCAAATTGACGGAACATGGTTATACGGGAAATATAAGGGCACACTTCTCATGGCAGTGGCACAGGACGGGAACAACAACATTTTTCCAATAGCCTTCGCCATAGTAGAAGGGGAGACTGCTGGGGGTTGGAGTTTTTTCTTAAAAAACCTCGCTCTTACGTGTCTCCACAACCCAACTTATGTTTGATCTCCGATCGACACCCATCCATCAAGAGTGCATACAACAACCATGACAATGGTTGGCAGGATCCTCCCTCGACCCACGCCTATTGCATAAGGCATATTGCCCAAAATTTCATGCGCGAAATCAAGGACAGGACGCTGCGAAAGATGGTTGTGAACGCGGGATATGTACTAACTGAACCCACATTCAGATACTACCGGGACAAGATCAGACTGAACAACGCGGACGCATTAAGATGGATTGACAACATTGATAGGGAGAAATTGACGCGGGCATACGACAATGGGGTGCGATGGGGCCACATGACAACTAACCTCGTCGAGTCAATGAATTTTGTTTTCAAGGGAATCTGAAACCTCCCACTAACTGCCTTGGTAAAGGCAACCTATTTTAGGCTAGGATCACTCTTTGATAGCAGACGTATGAAGTGGGGTTCGGTATTACAATCTGGTCAGCTGTATAGCGATACTTCAATGAAATTCATGAAAGAGGAAGCTGCCAAAGCCAACACACACGTGGTCACAATCTTTGACCGTACAACTGGTTGGTTCAGTGTTGCCGAGTCTATGGATCACAACGAAGGAAGGCCTAGGGGATGTTATCGTGTTGAATTGGATAAGAGCTGGTGTGATTGTGGAAAGTTTCAAGCATTTCGTATGTCGTGCTCTCATGTCATAGCAGCATGTTCCAAGTTGCGCCAGGACCCAACCAACCTTCTTTCTGCAGTTCACCAAGTCATGAGTCTATGCAATGTCTACACATGCAGCTTTCAAGTCGTGGCAAAGGAGGACTATTGGCCTGAATACGAAGGCGAAATTGTTTGGCATAATGACTTGATGCGCAGACAGAAGAAGGGTCGGCCTAACAGCACGCACATTCAAACTGAGATGGATACCGCAGACAAGCTGGTGAGATTGTGTAGTTCGTGTCGGCAACCAGGACACAATCGAACAAAATGTCCTAACGTAGGATCAAGCAGCAGATCATAGTTTCATATTTAATCTTGTCCCGTTAAATCAATATCAAATTCCATTTGATTAATAGCAATTTTTATAAGATTAATAGCAAATTTCATTCGAATAATACCAGGTTTCAATCAATTAAAACCATAGTTAACTGACACAACAACAACATGACAACAGAACACTGCGCGAAGGCAACATAAATTAAACAAACATAACAACAGAACACTGCGCGAAGGCAACATAAATTAAACAAACATAACAACAACGTAAAGACCTAAAACAGAACACTGCACCAAAGCGTCTACGATATCACGACCATCAACTTTATCTTCTTGGGTGTCAACATCATCACAAGGACACCGACATCATTTTCCACTTTTCTCCATTCACGAGTAACTTCGTTTCTCCCGGTCTCCTCGACCAGCCTCTCGACTTTCCTAATCTTTTCTCCTGGACCAATGTCTCCTTCTAGCCAGCGGTTCAGTTCCCTGTGCAAGTGCTCCAACGTCTGCGTATTTCAGAGGAGCACCTTCATCGGAGGCTTTGTTGCTGAAAACACAACTAGGGCATTTCTTTTCATTAGATCGAACGTTGGAAAAGGTTCCTCCGATGCTGATGACGATGACGAAGAACGTTGATTTAGAAATGCAGACATTCTAGACTCCACTCAACTCGAACTGCACTAACACTTTAGTCTTTTGGGATATAATGTTGTGAAAACATACATGTGTTTGCGGTCGTATTTATAGTAAAAAAAACAGTACGTACCCTATATGATATGACTTAAATAACCTTACAACATTTATACACTCAAAATTTGCTAAACACTATATTTTTATTTTGTATTTAAACCAGTTTAAGTTTTTTGTTTATTAAACATAAATTTATTAAATTAATTAGAAATTATTTTTATTTAAACCTAATTATTGTAAGTTTTTTAATTAAAAAATAAATTTTAAGCTTAAACCACATTATTTTAAATTTATTAATTCAAAAATTTATATTAAATCTAATTTTTTTTAGTTTATTAATAATATTAATGTTTCAAAAAATTAATAATTCAAAATATAAAAAAAAAATCGTTTTTAATTTTTTTAAACATTAAATGAATATAAACAAATAATCAAAATATAAAACCAAGAATGATGGAAATTTGGAAACCCTATCTTTCAACTCATTCGCCAATTGATATGGCGCATGGATTCCACCTTCAACTCATTCGCCAATTGCTATGGCGAATGCATCTTCTCCAAAAACCACTTTCAACTAATTCGCCATTTCAAATGGCGACTCAAGGTAGGATTGTTAGTCATTTTAGACAATTTTTTGAATACTGTATTATTTTGGTAAATTAATATCAATACATGGTTTTCTTAAAAAAAAATTCCCGTAAACAACACCCAAAGGTCATAATTTAAAAGAAACATGAGTTAAAGATTAATGATTTCTTTTCTAACCGGGTAAAAGAAGAAAATTCAGTCTGATGTAGAATCAAATCCTACTAAAAATTGAGATATTTAACTAGTCGGGTTACGAGGATATTCAACTAAATTATAAAATTTTATCTCATATTTTTACTTTCAATTATATATTCTTACATTTTATAAAAAAAAATACAAATTTTATTCTGGTATATTTTTAATTAATTTATTATTTTATTTTTTAAATATTTTTCAAATTTTATATTACTTATCGGAAGACTTTGTAAAATAATTTTGTTATTTTCCTGTATTTTTTAACTTTTTCTTTGTACTGGATGATTTTACAAAAGAGTACCGGTAGTTAATTTTTTAATTTTTAAAATTCTTTTTGTCTATCGGAAGATTTTGTAAAAGAATTTTGGTAGTTATTTTTTGTGTACCAAAAGACTTTGCAAAAAAAATTCGATACTCATTTCTTAAAATATTTTTTATTTTTAAGACTATGCAAAACAATTTCAGTAGTCAATTTTTGTGTACCTGAAGACTTTGCAAAACAGTTTCAGTAGTCAATTTTTGTGTATCGGAAGACTTTCCAAAAGAGTTTCGGTAGTACTTTCTTAAAAATTTTTAATATCATAATACTTTGCAAAAGAGTTTCGGTAGTCAATTTTTGTGTACCGAAAGACTTTGCAAAAAAGTTTTAGTATTATTTTTTTTAACTTTTATTGTGTATTGGAAGACTTTGCAAAAGAGTTTTAGTGGTCAATTTTTGTGTATCGAAAAACATTGCAAAACAGTTTTGATAGTCAATTTTTATAATATTTTTTAACTTAATAAATTATTTATATGAGAATATTTTAGTAAAAAAAAATATAACGTAGAAGTAAAGGAATAAATTATGGGATATGGGATAAAAAATTTCAATCACAGGATTATCAGCCGTAGAAGATGATTAACACACGCTAGCATTTAAAATCCTAAATATTCTTTGTCTTGTACTACTCTCTCCGTCTTATAGAAAGTATTTTGTTTACATTTTTTCTATGTCTCAAAATAAATGTTTTTTTAAAATTTCAATCCAAAATTTATTATTATTTTTTTAATATTATACCCCTATTTATTAATTTTTACGTTTTTTTTAACTATTCCACTAATTATAAATAATAAGGATAATTTAGTAAAAAAATTGATTTTATCATTAAAATCAATAAATCTAATCATTTTTTTAAAAACCGTTAGAGCATAAATAAGACTCTTATTATGAGATTGATGGAGTATTAACTGCTATGCTTTACTAATTGGCACACAACTCCCGTTATTGTTTTTAAAACTAATCAACTCAGTATTTTCAAAATTAAGCAAAAATATATTTTAAATTTATTGAAAAAATATTTTTGAATTATCCTTTCGGATTTAGTTTGAAAGTATATTTGTAGACTAATTTTTCAAAAAACAAGAGGTTTCTCACTTACATGTTTTAGTGTGCAATAGACATTTTCGAAGATATATTTTTCTGTACAATAGATATATTTGAAGATATATTTTTAAAGCTTTAAAAGGACAATTTCGAATTTTCTAGAAAATGGCAACCCTAGTGATGTGTAAAAGTTTGGACATAGGTATTTCTTCAAATTTTAAATATGAAAATAAGTATTATTATACTAAGCCCCTGCTTCTTGTGAGTGGTAACACTAGCTCACTACCAAGAGAAGTGGCATTAGTAAACTTGCATGGGATGCATTTTAATAAAAATGCTTTCATTACATTTATGGATGGGTTTTATATTACAAAATTTATGATGCAGATGTTGACCTAGTGTTGGTTTCTAATGAAAATACATTGTTTGCTGAATCCACGTAAGCTACATTGTGATGAATGTCAAAACATAATTCTTTGCATGATTGAATTAAGCACACAAGCGCTGGATTAGGCACGCTATTGTTGGAAATTACATTGCTAGCTGCATTCATTAGTCTAACAAGTGTATCCTTGTGAAAGCGTATAGAATTTTCTTTCATTAGATTCAACCATGACAACTTCGAAAATGGTTGCATGTCTTTTGGTGTGTTATCAGTGATGCATTTGAGAGCAACAACATAATCATCCTTCTCGAGCTTTGTACAAAACCTCTCCTTGATTAGAGAAACTGGTGGAACTCTATCTGTAGCAGCCAAGTGCTTCCATGTTATCTCTAATGGCTCTTCCTGAAAACAAAGCAAGGCTCCACTTGTCAGTGAAATGATCTCAAATTTTATGATTAAGTTTGACATCTATCATTTATGGGTCTTGCTAACCAGTGCCCTCAGGACACTATTTAAACATTCCATATTAAGAAATTATTCTTAAAAAAATTCAAATACTTCAATTTTCAATGCACATTATTACACACTATTGCACATACTTTTATAAAAACTTGCTATTTAAAGTTTTAAAAAGTGTCCTGAGAGCACTGGTTAGCATTTCCCATCATTTATTAGTTAGTCTCAAGAAGAATAAAATAATACTCTCTATTCTTGTCACCTTTTTTAAAAAGTTATATTTTTTTTTAAATGTCATTTCAAAGTTTAAAATAGTATTGATTGTTGTTTTGTCAAAACTGCCCCTAATAATTTATTACATAGAGAGAAAAGAATCAAATAAATTAATAAGTTAAGGGTAAAATAGAAAAAAAAAATATAATCATTGTTAAAAAAGTAACAACATTTATTAATTTTCTTAATATGTGTAAAAAGTAAAAAAATACTCTTTAAAAAGAACGGAGGTAGGAGCTAAGATTTTATAACAGCATAGTAGAACAATTTATGTCATAAGTGTACTTACAACATATACAAAGATACATATCAATCATTACATACAGAGATGTATAACGAGACGTTTAATCAAACATGACATATCCATACTAATACACGGCAGCAGTACAAACTAAACATGTATGTAAATTTGGATATCATTATAAAAATAAATAAAAAAACTCAACATCTTGTTTAGATTATTATAAACATTTTTCCGATCTATAAACCTCATTCAAATTAACATTGACAGGCTAAAAAAATGAAGTGGATAGCAAGAAAATGCCAGAGTCCGTTTTTGTTTTCATCCTCTAAATGCTTAAGCAAGATTGTATTGATATTTACTCTCGCCTTTATTAAGGCTAAATTCCAAACTAACACGCCCTAAAGTAAGATTCTCAGCCTATCATAAGAGGATCATTCATAAAATCAATGAATATGCAGAAAAAACAATAGAAAGGTTACCTTTCCAGCTCTTGAAGCCTCCAGTATCATTCGAAGATGCCGTTTTGGATTGAAGTGATAACCATAGTACAGCATCCTCTGGTAAACACAGTCAAAATAATCCCATCTTTTCTCTGCAGCACATGCATCTAACATGGTATTGAATGTGTATATATCTGGTATCACTCGCATTTTGTAATCATCTTTGTTGTTCAAATAATTAGTGTTTTCCAACATTCGCTCAAATAACTCTTTAGCTTCTTGAAACATCCCATGTTTAACGTAAGCTTTAAGCATTATGTTGTGAGTAACCAAATTTGGAGCACAAATTTCCTTCATTTTCTCAAAAATGTAAGCTCCATCTTGAATATTTCCAGAGTCTAGACTCGCTTGCATCAAGCCAGTGTAGGTCACTACCAGGGGCTTACTTGCAACTTTACATATCTTGTCTATCTGTCAAAGGATGAGCAATTTTATTAGTGGCAAGCCTTTTAAATTCTACAAATACCCTAGTACACTAGAATGAACTTATTTTTTATAATGACCACAACACTTCTTTTTAACGAACAATAACATTGGTCCAATCAACTTATATCAACTGAAGTTATAATCAGATGCATCACACTCCCCTGAAACACTGATACGAGGCAGTGACACTGATATCCGTGTTGTTTGGAGTACATTAGTTGATATAAAGTGGAAGAATTACAAAAGTTACAGGATATATACTACTCCCAACAATCTCTCTAATATTGTCATTTCTAATCTTATCTCGTCGAGTCTTTTAGGTATAAAATTCAATGAAATTAAACTTCTATCAATCAGACTCAGATACAATTCTTCCAAAAAGTCTTGACTCCTAAGCTTTTCTCTTTTTTTTCTTATTTAATCTGAACAGCTCCTTGCTCAAACATTTTCACATATTAATTCAAGGACGTGCAATAACATTTTTGTTACTTGGTGTTGCATGGGTAGGTGGATGGTGTGACAGTGGAACAGCTACTATTGCATAATCTGGTAGCATCTGTTCTGTTTGTTCGGCATTACCTCTGCAAGATAACATATGGCTGACGCATTCATATGTGAGGGAGTTATGTACTGTTAGGGGTAAGGGGGTGTTTGGGAAATAGGGTCATTCCTGCTTTGCATTAAAGAGAATTTAAACTCTGGCTTGAGAAAAATATACAAATCATCCAAAACATATAGCCAGGATCTACACCCTAAACTAGGTCAAGAACTTTTTAGCACCGATGTGTTGACATGTGTAACTTGTAGGGACCAACTTAAAGAGTTTACTCTGAAAAATCAAGGTCATTTCAATAAAAAGTGGAAAAGATCAAGTATTTAATTTGAATTGTTCAAGGACCCTGTTGACTTTGTGAAATTACTTTTTGTTTTCATTTTCTAGAATGTGTTAACTTCCTGATAAAAATGAGACTCTTAAAGTGAATCATTGTGATGGACAGAAGATAAAATACAAGCCAGGGATGCTTTATTATAAGGACATGATGAAAATAGATCTTTTGACGTTTTCATTGTTTCCGAGATAAATCACTACAAGATTCTATTTTTTCCTTATTAACAAGTAAACTAACATATAAAAAAAAATAGAAAGTGTTTTCACGAAGTAAACAGGTTCTATTGTCATAGTACTGCTATTTTACCTTTTGGATGTTCTTTCATATTTTAAGATTTTTTAAGGTCCGACTTTTAGGTAGGTGTTGTGTTACTAGGCCTTGTTGCAATTTTAATTCTATATCATCAACCTATTAACGAACTAATAACGATGAATGAAAATGACATTTACGTTATTATATCTACCCCTTCCTTCCCCCACTCTTTCAGAAAAGCAACTGAGAAAAAAATAGTACTAACAAAACCACCTGCATCAGTGCCTCTTGACTTCTTCCTGCTGCACAGAGGCATCTAGCTAGATCATAATAAAGAGAAGCAGAACCAACGATTCCACGTCTTTCCATTTCATTGACAGACGACATAGCCTCATCAATTTTTCCCTCTTTCCAAAATGTATTCACAAGAACTGCACATAACAGGAGAAGATCAAGATAACAATCATGTGATGTCATTAGGTGACTCAAATGTATGTGAAAATAAATGAGAATACCTCTATATGTCAATGGATTAGGAATAGAAGATTTCTGAAGTTTTCTAAAAAATTCATGAACCAAGTTGTACTTGCCACATGAAAACATCACCTGTTCAAGTATTACACAAATTTGTGAATTATGTGCAATTCAACATTTATTCATAGATGCAACTGCATTTGTAGTTTTCCTGTTCTTCCATGGAATCAGAGTTTCCCAATATAATGGGCTGTACTATTCTCTCCTTTTTTTTTCTTCCTTTTTTCTTAAAGAAAGATTTGAATAAATATTGAGTTAAGCAACTCTTTTGAGTTAATTAACTATTTTAGCTGCTTATATTTTCTCTTATTTGCTCTATGATCTGCTGTTTTTGGAAGTATTGTCTCCTACTCTTTGTACTCACAATTTATAATAGAATCTTTATATACTTAAACTTAAAAAGTACAATAATATAAGCAAAACCGCCCGCTTTCATTCTCAGACTGATTAAAATATTTTGATATATATCAGGACTCATTCAAAATATACAAATGTAACTATAAGTCATAAAAACACTAGAGGCAACTACTACCTCCATAACTAGGCCGTATGTTGCAGCAGAGGGTTGTATGTTCTGCTTCTTTAACTGCTGTAATACCCAAAATGCTCCTTCCCATTGTTTACCCTTAACGCACGCATTAAGGACCTGCAAGTGCAATTGATATATAAAATGCAAATTCAGGCCTTAATTGTGAAACTGAGCAACTACGAAAGGAGTTTTCTACAAGGAAAAAAAAAACATATTTTCAAATAGAACCTAAAACTGAGAAGGAAAGTAATTATTCAACCAATACAGGGTATGGTAGACCTTGCCCATAATAGGATAGATAAGATTAAAAAAAAATAGCTGTAGAAAGACTAAGGTATACACACATAAAGTGTGCAAGCATGATGCCTTTTAAGCAACTTTGGATGCCAAAAGTCTCAGGAAAACAGGATAATGGTGGATCATACAAACCTTCTTAGGGCAGTTCGAAGGACAAAAAGAAAAGAAAAAAAAAACAAATTTGATGTAACAAATGATGGATAAAGAGAGTATTTTAATTGATCATAAAAACTATTAATTTTGAGACCAATCAAGGATTAGCTGCATGAAAATGGTTTTTCCTGTTGTTAGAATATCTATTCTTGGACTTTAGCCCACACATTCAGAAAGCTGAAATGTCTGACCCCAAACCCATCCATTTCAATCTAGAAGTGGCCTCCAACTCCAACGACATGGTATGGAACAACTATCTCTTGAAACATCTAAAACCAAGTTCCTTTCTAACAACTTACTGCATTATAAACTATGATATCAGGTTCCAGCCTTGGGTCCCAGTTCTCAAATATCCCTTTATTGAACTTCTTCTTTGGTGGAGATCGCATAATATCAATCACATCAAAGAGCTGCTTCATTTGTCCAGCTTGTCCAAGAGTAACAGCAATACTATGATAAGCTACTAAGTCAGGATATGTGGACATTTGTTGCTGGAAGAGAAGGAAAGTGTCAGTCAAGTTGTCTGCATTCCTATGTCAAGTTATTTAGCGTATATTTTACTAAAATTGAGCATATTGCACTGATAAAAGCATTGCCTGCATTGCATGAAATACATTTAGTGCTTCCACAGGTCTCCTCAACTTCCCAAGTGCGTCAAGTGCAGCATTGTATACATGCCTAATGTCAGAAAGTAGCATATTAATGGCTACTTGAAACAAAACAAAAAAAGGGAAAACGTCCATTCACTAGCAAGCAATAAGACTTTAGATGTTAAAAGGTTCCATTAGGTTTCTGAAAAATCAATCTTACACGCCACTGAATAATAACATTATAGGTACTACATTGATAATATACATACAAAATTTCATATAAATCAAATGTAGTTTTCTGCTCCAATACATGTCAAAATCAAAATATAATATGGTTTTTAAACAAAAAGAACTCCACCTTTTGACCACACGTGTCTAGTTTTTTAAATCTATAATTTGGCATGGAAGATAAACTGGATAGTTATACATAGTTCGACAATAGAGTTGATTAAAATTACTTTAGAGCATATTTATTCATATAAAACATATAGGTGTTCAAGTACCTCGGCTTATGGGACTGGAAACGCTCACGCGTTTGAAGCCATTCAATGACTTGTATCACTCGCTGCCAGTTTCCGAGATTTCCTAAGATTGTGATAAGCCTTCGTATAGAATAGTCGTTAAATTTGAGCTTTGCACTTCTGATCATCTTAGAAAACATCCATTCTGGTAAATTGATATCTACACCATTCAGCCTGTTTGAATAATGGTCAACAAGACAAGAAAGGAACACTTCACCATGAATAAAAAATAGTAATGAAAAAATTATAAAATCACATTGAGAATAATTATTGGATTGTAAAATTATGGCTGGAAAGAAAAGAAATAATAAATTCTCCATTTGAAACAGTGGCTGCCAAGAAGATATCTGAAATATCTATTCAGGTTTACTAATGTTGAAGAAGGAATTGAACAAGAAGGAAGAAACCCACAGGTATTGGAAAAAAAAGGCAGTGGAACCCAACTTTACTACAAATACAATATCTTAAAGTAAATATTCATGAGGCAATCGAGATACATTAATTGAATCGTTATTTGCTTCATAAATTTTGATGAGCACATCAAAAGTTGGGTATGGTGTCCTTCCCATATGAAATATTCAAGTTCTTTTGCATTCTTTTTGTCACCGCTTTAGTTAAGTGCTAGCAGTCTCACAGATGCAGAGACAAATAACGCTTTATCACAAAGCTCTCATGAGTAGTATAATAGTAGAAAATGAAGGTTCACAAATGACAAGTCTGAACCCGATTGAGAATTCTTCAAAGACATATGCTATATATATAACAAAATTTATGTAAGAAGTGAACTCTAAGGATTATAAATCCACATATCACCATCTTACAAGTCACATTTAATGCAAAATGAACTTCAAAATAAGTAGCAGCTGAGGCAAAGACCTAACCGGTTCAACTACAATAGTACAATTTATATGGAAAACGAAACCAATAATGTGAAATAGAAGAAGCTTCTAGAAGAATAAATTTACATAAAAAACAGAAAATGAGTACAAAGCCAAGCAATCATAGACCTCAGATCAAGTATTGAGACAGACACTAAGCATCATTTGTAGATTGCTTCAATCGTTCCCTAAGGTAGCATTTTAATAAAAATTGTTCAGAAAACCATGAAAGAAGGAATAAAGTACATACTGTTTGGCTAGCTTCTGAATTCTCTCTTCTAATTCTTTATGCGAAAAGTGTGCCTTAGTGATAACATTGTTGGGGTCCTCAAGATTCTTAAATGCTGCTCGTTCCACCTCCAAGTTATCAGAATCATAACCCCTATTATGAAAATGCTTGATATTTCCATTAGACCTTTGACTTCCATTGGTCAATCTCTGATTTTCACCATATCTTTTACCAGGACCTCTATCCATAGCTTTTTTTCTATCTACAAAATGATCACCACCAAGGGTTTTACCCTTTCTATTGTGAACAACCTCTTGTTCTGACATCTTTGAAGAATATAAATCATAAGCTACTCCCCGGCCACCATTCAATTTAGACCTAATTATGTTGTTACTTATCCCTCCCCTTCTAATTTCCTCTTGACTCTTAATAATCACACTGCTGTCATCGGAATTTGGCTCTAAACTACGACTCTGGTGCTGGTTCCTCTCTTTCCCACCATATTCATCCCTAGACTCTTTTTTAGGTTTTCCTCTAGGACTACCATTACCTGTGGAAGAGTCTTCATCATCTTTCTTATAAATTTTGGTTCCAACTCTTTTAAAATTTCTAACGTGATTTCCTTCATATCCCTTTTTTGGTGTCTCGCTAACCCTAACAGATTTGGCAGATTCCATAGCCTTCAAATATTCATCGAAGGATGGTTTAAATTCCAATTCCTTGTGAAGATGATGGTCAGAATTAGAAGCATACTTCATTGAAACCATAACTGGACTAAAATTGAGCTTTGGAGCATGAGAGGCGAAAAAGGGTCTGGAAGAGAAGGAATTGGCAGCATAGTGGAAAGAAGAAGAAGAAGTGAAGTTGCTGTTGAATTCAAAGGCAATAACTACCATGTTGGGTGTTAGTATATTGGTCAATTGAAGAAAAATAAAACAAGAGTAGAAGGTTGAGGAGTTACGGGAGACCAACGTAACTGCATCCTTTGCTATGCAATGCAAATCAGCATCCTTTGCTATGCAATGCAAATCAGCATCCTATGTCAAAATATCATCTTCGTTATCCTCTTGTGCCTAAACCCCCAAAACGTTTTGTGTTTTTTTTTTAATCATGTACAGAAAAAAAAAAAAGCAAAGCAAAGCCAAATTTATTATGGCATTGGTAAATTTTACCCAAATAATTCACTTTTTAAATAAATATTCAAATTAACTCATTTTTTTATATGTATTTTTTAAATTAACTTACTTTCAAACAAAAAAAATTCAAACTCAAAGGAGTCGTCAATACAATTGACAACAGTGTACAACACATAAGGTGAGACGTCAATCCAATTGGCAGCAGTGTACGAACACATAGAGAGACGTATAAAAAGAGAAAAGCCACAATTTATGGGAAAAAGTATATAAAGTTATGAGTAGAGGTGGCAAATCAGATTCGGCACACTGGACATGCATGTTTTATCCGTTATTTTTTAAGGTGAGTCAAGGTTTGCGCTCGCATTCCCTAATGTATCTACTTTGTCTTATCTTATTTTCTTCGGACTTTTGTGCGAGTGCATTCTTCAACTTAGTCATGTTCTAAATGATGGCAAAACTAAGAGTGAGACTTAGCGTTTTGTACGTTGGACCCTATCAACCTAAATTTAGATGTACATCTATCATGTTAGCCTTAGAATGCATACAAATAGTCTTTGAACAAGTTTAATCGGTCTTAGGCATGTCATTCACATCAAAAACTAAGTTTTGTGTGTCAACATAACTGCACAGACTGACCTATACGTGATCAGGTCAACTTATGAAAACTTTTGCTTCAGTACAGGTCGGCACGTCCAAGTTTCAGCTCCCACGCTCCAAGGATGAAGCCAGTAGACTCTGCTCACAAGTCGCCTCATAGGTCAACCTATTGCCTTCATAGGCCGACCTATACGACTTTAAAATTAAAATTTTCTTCTTGCATCCTCATTGTCTATTTTCACATACACATATATATACTCATACATGCACCTTTTTCTAGTAAGGTTCTAGAGAGCAAAACTTAAACGAACACAGATCACAAAGTTTCCCATCATCTTCATCCCTTCTTCTATGCATACACACAATTGAACTACACATAATCATTTTTCAATTGGGTGACCATCTAGATTAGGGTTGATAACGTCCAATTAGGTTTGGTGTAACCGAGAATATTGGGTTGGGAATTTTGCGTGTTTCAAATAAGAAACCCAAGGTGGGGTTTTCCTCAAGATCGGTGTGATTTAAATGTTTTAGACAAGATCACGTCAACACAAATTTGATCGAGTGAAGGCCTTGGGATAAGTTGGTTTCCTTGCAAGGGAGTAACGCGAGACGGTGAATTGTGTTCGGAAATCTTGAGTTTCAACAAGTTGCGTGCTCGGGAAAAAGGTGGTGGATTGGAGTCACATTGTTGGTCACTTGATCAAGTTGTGATCAAGGGTTTGGAGGTGGAAGAATCAACACAAAAAATAAGGTTTTTGGGGTTTGCATTCTTCATCTCTTGTATAAACGATTTTTCAAAGAAAAGGTTAATTGCAATTATCTCAATTCGATTTGAATTGAGGGCAGATGTACCCATAGCGAGACCGATTAGGGAACTGCCTAAACAAATATTGCTCTCTCTCTATCTCTCTCTCTCTCTCTCTCATCTCTTTATCGCTTTAATTGTTGATTTCGCAATTTATCGAGTTCATCGATGTTTGATCAATTCGATTAGAAATTGTTTTTCAATTATCTTTCAAAAGTGTTGTTGTTGATATAATCATAATCACTTTGATTGTGATTGAATTTTAACATCAACAAAATAAGTTGAATTTCCAATTGTTATCGATTGCATACCAAGTGTTCGATAAATTATTTGTGTGTATTTTTAATTGGTTTTTTGGAAATACGAGTTACGAATAGCTTTACATTTAATTAATTCGTAGCTTGATCGAAGCCTATCGTCTAACAAGTGGTATCAAGAGCTCTGGTTCATTCCGTGCTTGAGATATATTTCTTAGAAGAATGACTACTGAACCTAAAGGTGCGTACAATAGAGCACCAACTTTCATCGGGGAAAATTATGACTATTAGAAAGCTCTTATGCGTATACATGTCAATTCCATTAACAAAGGTATATGGAATGCTATTCAAAATGGTCCGAATGAAATAACCATGACCAATGAAGGTGCTATCGTACATATATCGGAAGCTCAGTGAGATGCTAATGATTGGAAATTATGGTCATTGATTGGAAAGCGAAAAACATTTTCACTTCCGCTTTGGGAGTTGATGAGTTTTATTGCGTTTCTCATTGTGAGACCGACAGGCTATGTGGGATGCATTAGAGAATTCCCATGAGGGTACTAATGATGTCAAGCAAGCTAGGATCAACACATTAAATCAAGAGTTTGAGTTGTTCCGTATTGAGCATGGTGAAACCATTGCAGATATGCGGAAAACGTTCTCACATCTTATAAATCGATTAAATGCATTAGGTAACCTGTTTTCAATGAACTTGCTACTAACAAAGTTTTGAGGTGTTTAAGTAGGGAATGACAACCGAAGGTCATTGCTATTAAAGAAGAAAATGATCTTAAGTCGCTTGATCTTACAACTTTGTAAAATAAGTTGGAAAAGCACGAACAAGAGCTTACTTGCTTAGCTAAATACGAAAATGAATATGAAAAGAGATCGAAGAATGAGAAAGGGAAAGACAAAGAAGAAGGGAAGAATTTCATTGATCTAAAGACGTATAGCTCAAGGCCTTCTCAAGATGAGCAAAGGGAAAGTGAATCTAAAGATGACAATGAATCTGACGAAGAAGATATGGGACTGTTCATAAAGCGAGTCAATAAATACATGTCAAAACGTGGTGACAAATATCCCAACAAGTACCTTGATAAATCAAGAAGGTTATCAAGTTCCTCAAAAGAAGAAGATGAGAGCAAAAAGGGGAAGTCGCGAAGTATGTGTTACAACTATGGTAAACTCGGTCACTTTAAGTAAGAGTGTCCTAAAATCAAGAATGAAAAAGGTCGTCACAAAACGTCTAGAAAATCTAGAAGAACTTATGCCACTTGGGAGAGAGAAAGTGGTTCGTCAAGTGATAGTAGCTCTACTTCAAGTGATGAACGGGCCTAGCTTTTCTATATGGCAAGCAAAGGAAATAAAAAGGTTGTTATTCACTCTAAACTTCAAGCCTCTCATGATTTAGTTTTTTCTCAACTTCAAGAGTCTTTTGAAAATCTACAAAAACAAGCCATATATGCCTTTAAGATATTAGCTTCAAACAAGGGAATTATCTCTCATTTGGAAGCTAAGATTGCTAAAAATTAAAAACATGTGGAAGCACTAATGAAATCTATGTCAGATATTCTAGAAGATCAAGATAAGGATCTTAAGTCTTTGTGGTTTGGTTGTGTGAAACTTGTCACATTTTGCAAAGGGAGACAGGGACTCTCAAGGCTAAACTAGATAAGGCTTTACAACCCAAGGTTACTTTTGCTATAGATACTTCCAAGTATGAGTTACCATCGCATAATCTGTATCGAAGGTATAGTTACGTTAAAAAGCAACCAAATGGCAAAAGGTTATCTTCTCTTAACTCATATTGTCACTATTGTTGCAAAAAGGGACACACCATTGCAAAGTACAAACTTAGGAAGCTTTTTATTCCTAAAGGTGCATTTGAATGTTCCGCGGTGAGAATTGGATATCAAGCTATTAATTAACTTAAATCACAAACCATTATTCACCACCGATCTTTAATTTATCTAAGGGAAGGGAAAAAGAACGAATAATCCAAAAGTATGCAATGCAATGCAAAGCAAGAGAATCTAAGGTTCGGGGGTTGGTTATACCTAGGAAAGGTGATAGCATCCTAAGTATATGTAGTACTCTACAGGAACCTCTTATTTTATATGTGGTATTGTTGTTTGCTAAGAGTGAAAGACCTAGGAGTTTATTTCTAAGTATGTTCGCCAAGAAATTGCATATTGTGCCTAAAGGCACGAGGAACCATTGACCGCGATCAAAGTTCCAGGGGGAGAAGGTTTGTTGATTGATTCTAGGAGAGAATTAAAGTTGTCATCTTAGGGAGAATACTCGACTTAGCCACCACGAACATACGGAAGATGGTCTTTGCATCACATTGAGAGAAGGGCTCCAAGTCGGATCTATAATCGATGAGTATGCCATGTACCACTCTCAAGCGGAAAAGACTCTACATCTTTTTGTATTGTGTTATGGGGTAAGAGAATTACATATCGACTATCAAGATGACTTATGGCTAATTCTCTTGTGGGAGGATAGAATCTTAGTCTATGAGTTGTCTTAGTTGAAAACCTATGGGAATCTATCTTAAGATATGAGGGTGGCCTAAACTGATCGACCTGAAAAATCAGGGATCAAGTAGGGGATGATGCAAATGGATGAGATGTTCATGACTATAAAGTCAAGAACAAAATCCTTCCCTTGGACTTGAACAATGCAAATATATAATTGCAAAAAAAAAGATGTAGATAAAAGCATCAGATGTCATAGATAAAGTCATGATTGAATATGTAACATATAAAAACGTGCAATATAACTATCAATCAACTTATGAAGCAAAATTATTGTGTCACGAATCAAGTATATCTCATGTCAAGCGCATACGAAAGCAAAAAATGCATAGACTACGAAAATAAATTTAGGGATTAAAGCTAAAGTATTTTGTATTCTTGATTAGGAAAAAAGTTTTAGTTTTAATCAAAGGAAGTATAACATGATACCTAGATCCTAACATTATGATCAAAGGGGAAACTACCTAATGTTGTCATGCGAAGGTTATCTTAAATTCTATCCGGAGTAAACCTCGGTTTCGCAAGCTTGTTAACAGGTAAGAAATCAAAGTTAGC